AGCCATCCCTTCCAGAACACAAATGAAGCTTCCTCGCCACAAGTTGTACTATTAGTCATTCATGTTCCAGTTGCTGCTCCTCATTTCTACTTACCTGTCCTCCAAAGATTTTTTTTTACGCTACGATAAATTCCTTATCTTCAATGCAAAGGCAGAGCTCCTGTTTTGGCTGAAAAACACAAATTCTTCATTACTGACAAGTCTATACACACTGCAGTCAAGCTTTAGAAGATTCAGTATAGTTCTGGTGGATATCTCCAAATACACTTCTGTAAACTTAACGTTCTTTTACTGAAATGACAAATGTTATAAAGATCAATCTTAAATAAATGACTACAACACCTAGTGTTCTACGGATGTGAGTCTGTGACATGAACTCTACACATTTGCATTGCTGAGCTCAGTATCTGCTAATCAAGTTGGTGACCAGTACATGCAAGAATCTACTATATTTTGAATATCGGGCAAATACCAGATACAGTTGCACACATAATTTTGACAGGCATTACAAATTCTATGCATGCAAACATGTTTCAAACCAGGGAGAGGAATTAAACACAGTGATAACATACATTAATCAGAGGAGATCCAATCAAACCCATACAGATAATTTTGATTTCTCATCAATTTCCATTACCTCGTCAGCAACATACATTAATCAGAGGAGATCCAATCAAACCCATCCAGCTAAATTTGATTTCTCATCAATTTCCATTAAGTCCTGGAAACAGCCTCTTACAGAAATGTAGGGAAAGGCTGCGTACAATAGACCCAAAGTGGTCGGACCCTTCCCCAGACCCTGCGCAAGCGGGAGCTACATGCACTGGGGCTGCCCCTTCCATTATCTCATCAGCAACATACCTTCCTATTCAGGATGTGATGATAAGCTATGTCATGTGGGATAGCACTTTCAACAAATACGGGTAAAAACTTCCCAAAAATGACCACCAATCTTATGCATGGATACCAGGATTACATTACACTGTCAAACTAGCTAGTGTGCAAACTTGATAGTGAAAAACACCTTTTCACTTTGTTACAGAAGAAGCCTTGACATATCTGTTAATTTCTCCGTGATAGGTATGAGATTACCGAAAAGACCGTATAGAATAAGAAGGGTTAATCTTGAGTTCTTGACCTACCATATCTTTTAGACCTTTTTATCAAAAAAAAGAATCTTTTAGACCTTTATATCAACTACTATCTAAACCCACTCAGTTTGTGGTTACTGAATGGCGTTGCAATATACAGTACTTATTTGTTAATATGCAACGGAAATTAGCAACAAACGTATACAAAATAAAGGGTTACACAAATAACACCGAATCGGTGTGTCTGTACTTAGGATGACGCATGTATTCGGAGTTTCCATGGGGTTTGAAAAGGGAAATAAAGGACACCCTGGCCCAGGGACTGCCCTACCTCCCGCCATCGACAGCATTCACCTTAGAGTAGAAAAACATTTTTTGGCCTAACAAGCTGCGATGCCATAAGCCAAATGCAGCCTAGGTAGATCCTTCTTTTTAGCTCGTACCATACCGAGCTACTGGACCAGTGCATCTACCTCAACATACTAACCTCCCTGAATTAGTGCATCTACCTCCTATTATCTACTACCATTATATAGCTCCAAGAAAAACATGTACGATATGACATTATATTCTCCATTTACTGAGGAGCATTATATATACCGTGGATTCTCTCAAGGTCTTAGCACAACAGTAGGCTAAATTAAGCAAAACATCAAATTAAGCAGCGACAAGATAAGATAAGCATAAGCTCCTTTAATATTGCTCAGGATGCTCATCACAAAGCATCCATTGCTTCTGTCATATGACAACAAGAGGTCAAACTGAAAAATCATGATCGTTAATATGTTTGATAATGACCTTTCCAAAATTATGTAGATCCGCTACATGATCACTAGCTTAGCTTGATTTCGAGGCTGCGATCACACATAACTGCGCACACGCATCAGCCACTGCTGTCATTGACTCTTCAGAGCCAGAGGGCGCCAGCCTGGCGGAGCAGCGGCACAAGCTGGCCGCCGAGGTGCAGCGTCATGACCTGGTCGGTGGTTCCGACGAGCCTGCCGCCAATGAAAACCGCCGGCACGGGCGGGCTCCGTCCGACAATGCCGGCGAGCGCCCTCTCGACGTCCTTCCCGTGGGGGTCCTTGTCCAGCTCGTGCGCCATCCAGCTCACGCCCATCTCTGTGAAGAGTGTCTTCACCACGTGGCACATGCAGCAATTGCTCACCCCGAAGATCACCACCGCACGCTGCGACGCCAGCTTCGCCACCCGGTCCGCCATTGCTGATCGAGTGAATTGGCTAGCCTGTAGGCTGTTGTTTGTTGGGGCTTTGTGAATTGTGATCGATCGATCTGATCAGCTCACTTCACTTGAGCTTGCTGTGGGCTGTTGTTTCTTGGAGTTGGATGATGGTGATGAACTGATGACCCAACCGTGCTTATTTGTAGATGACTAGCTGTGTCGGGTAAAGAGGCGGGAGTGGTCGGCGCAGGATTGCATGCTTAATTGAGGTGCAAGGGAATCGCTATGAGATGTGGCTAATCAGGAAGAATATATGTTCTCTGTCTAAAGGTTCTATTCTAGCTACCAGCTTTTCTTATCTTTGCTTTTGGTAGAGGCCAAAATCATACAGTTTGCTATGACCAGGAGAGTGGCTGATCCTTGATATTTTTTAATAGTGTCTCGAATAAGTAAGATGAAGAAGAATCAAGATTCGGGACAGGTTGGACTTTTGTTGTTAGAATCATACATAGAAAAATGGTGTGAAGAATCAAAAGATTCAAGATAGGCTGAACTTTGGTTGTATCAATTGAATCAATGCTTCAGCTGATGATCCCAGAGGTTCCTGATAAGCTAGGTTTAGATAAACTCTAATAGCCTGTTTTTGCATTTGTGTGTGAGAAGGAATATCAATAGTGTGGAGATGTCGAAATCATGCATCACACCTAAAACCCCTTTGTCTAATGGATAGCACAACATTAAGTAGAGAACTAGCTCCAGATCAACCTAACGATCACGCCTAGAACTATTAGTAGTGAACTAGTGATGATGGATGGATTGGACAAAAAAATTCGGAGAAATAAGTTTTAATGTGGCAGATGGATATCACAACTAACATTCAACATGCTCACCTTGTTGTATCGTCTGAGCCATCCCTTCCGGAACACAAATGAAGCTTCCTTGCCAAAAGTTGTACTTTCAGTCATTTCTGTTCCAGTTGCGGCTCCTCATTTCTACTTGCCTGTCTTCCACAGGTTTTGTTTTTACACTACTGATCACTATGATAAAATCTTCATTGCCATAAGACTTCATTTCGGCAATATCTTATACACACTGAGGTCAAGCTTAGAAGATTCAGTGCAGTTCGGGTGGATATCTCACAATACACTTCTGTAGACTTCAATTTCCTTTAACATAAATGACAGAGGTTATTAAGATCAATATTACATGACTGCAACACCCAGTGTTATATGGCTGTGAGTCTGATATAAACTCTACACATTTGCATTGCTAAGCTCAGTATCTGTTAATCAAGTTGGTAACAGTACATGCAAGAATATACTATATATCTTGTATTGTGCAAATAGCGGAGAGCTGCATACGTTGTTTCGACAGCCATGACAAATTCTATGCATGCAAACACGTCTCAAACCAAAGAGAGCAATTAAACACGGTGAAATAGAATACATTAGTCATACCTTTCTATTACAGAAGTTGTACCCAAAAGTGAAGATATCACAAAGATCAAACACAGGGGGGTCATTCCTCTTGATCATGTCCTACGTTCCGTGCCAGGAAGACAGGAAGATAGATCATCATAATGGGAGAGATATTCATCCCATTTTGTATGGACGGCATTGGGTGAAAACTTCATCTAATGACATCTATCAAATTTTCCCTTAGAACTAATAGTAGTGAACTAGTGATGATGGGTGGATTATAGCTTTGTGGACATAAAATTTGGAAAACAGAAGTCAGGTTTAATGCGAATAAAAATGTACTCCCTCCGTTCCTAAATGTAAGTCTTTGTAGATATTCAACTGGATGGACTACATACGGAGCAAAATGAATGAATCCACACTTAAAATGCATCTATATACATTTGTATGTAGTTCATAGTTGAATCTCTACAAAGACTTATATTTAGGAACGGAGGGAGTACATCACAACACATGCATAACTTGTCTTATCGTTTGAGCCATCCCTGTCCGTAACAGAAATGAAGCTTGCCACAAGTTGTACTTTCAGGTATTTCTCTTCCAGTTGATGCTTGTCATTTTTACATGGTCATCTTTCAAAGTTTTTCTGCACTACTGATCACTACCAGAAAATCTTCGTTACCGAGTCTTCACACAACGAGTATGTTATATACACTGCGATCAAGTTTAGAAGATTCAATGCAGTTCTGCTTGGTCTCTTGCAATGCACTAGTTTTTATTTATTGAAATGAAAAAAGGTTCTTATGATCCAACCTACAAGACTACAACTATTAGCCGGTGACACAAACTCTACACATTTGAATCAGCTAATCTTTGTATCTGTTAATCAAATTGGCAACCATTACATGTAAAGAGTCTACTCCCTCCTTCCATCTATATAGGGCCTAATGCGTTTTTCGAGACTAATTTTAGGCCCTAATCAAATTGGCACTAGTTTTTTAATCTTGTCAATAGTCAAAGGCAGTCTTCAAAAACGCATTAGGCCCTATATAGATGGAAGGAGGGAGTACTATATAATAGTTCCAGGCAAATAGCAGATAGACTTGCACACATTGTTTCAACACATTTCAAACTAAGGAGAGGAACTAAGCACGGTGAAATAGCATACATTAGTCAGAGGAGATGCAACCAAACCCATCCACATAATTTTGATTTTTCATCAATTTCCATTACCACAGTCAGAAACATACCTCTCTATTACAGAAGTCATACCCAGTGAAGATATTACAAAGATCAAACACAGAGGGGTCATTCCTCTTGATCATGTCCTACCTCTCGTGCAGGGAAAATTGGCGGCCAGATCATCACAGTGGGAGAGAGAGCTATTTGGGGAGGTTCATAGCATTTTTCTGGCACCCTCTGATGGACTTTCTCAACTACCCTGCTCCTCAGATGAACATAAAAGAGAGTGCCACTTGCTGTATGATCCAAGAACACAAATTCGGCATTGTCCCCGACCGCAGCAACATCAAGATAATTACCGGGAGGGATCCAACGGTCCCTTACAAGACGTGCACAAGCCTCAGCCTCACGGACACAAAATGTGTCCACCAGCAGCCAGCCTGCACCATTGCCATCGCCCGACATCGGATGGAGCCACACACTGAGCTGAAACCCGTCTGCACTGACAAGATAGAGCCCGGAATCCTCCGCACATGAGAGGTTGTAATTGTGGCGCACTCCAACTGGGAACTCAAGGGTGAAGAAGCTCGCCGCTGCCAAATCTAAACCCAGGGCGTACCGAGAGTCGGTCACCACGAAGACCTTGCCATGGATGGGTGGTAGAATTTCAAGGAAGTCTGCGTCAAACGAGAGCTCAATCTCTGCCGCGGTGGCAGGGACGCCCCATCCGCCGGATCCCAGGACGTACAACTCGGCGTACACTTTTCGCCGGACCGCCCAGAGATACAGCAAGGTGATGCCGTTGCGGCCCCCATCCTCGGGCAAGAACATCTCAACGAATCTATCTTGAGTGGTGTCCCAGTCAAGGTGGGGTAGCGGGGTCGTCGGGAGGACGGCCGCGGCCTCCCCGGCGAGCAGCGGAGCGAGGGAGTAATCGAATCTGCCTTTGTTGAAGAACTCTATGATGAGGCGGCCGTTCCGGCAGTGCTTGATTGGCAGGATTCTGCGGGCGAAGGCGGCGGCGCAGGAGGAAGTCGCCCGGCGAATGGGAGCGGCGAGCTCCGGGGGCTGCGGCGGGAACGGCACGAACCGGTACCTGCCGGAGAAGCCGAGGCAGAAGTCGAGGAGGCGGGGCGGGTTGCGCTCGCGGAATCGGCGAAGGAAGGCCGGGTCGGAGGCGTGGAGGAGCCACCGCTTGGAGACGAGGGCGGCGCGGACGAGGCAGGTGGGGAAGCCGAGGCGGAGGAGGATCTCGCGGAGGAGGTCGTCGTCGTCAAGCACCGATGCCGTCGATGCGGCCGCGGCCGCGGCCGCGACCGCCGGCATCCGTCGATCTCCGTCCATGATTTTGGCCAACCAAAGTTTGGGGGATTTTCCGGAGGGGAGGGTTTCGGTGGGAGAGGAGAGAAGGTGTATGCAGAATGGGCTGAATCGAAATGATTGTTCCCTTCCTTTCCCCTCTTGGCTATGCTACACAAAATTATTACAGTATGTTTTAAACTTAAAACATGTTAAAATCATCAAATAACGGAATCGATAAAAATTGATGTCAATTTTTTAGAATCTCGTCACAAACGCGCTTCCTGTCGTTGGATTATTAATACGAATCACGGAGCAAATTTTGTGCCTCGTGGTCATCGGCATTTCAGAATCATTCGCATCTTCCTCTCACCTCGTCGCCCACTCGCTTATTCCCATCACCTTATCTTCTTCTAGTCCCCACCCATGCACAGCGAGGTCATGCGACGGCTGTACCGGCGACTCCCAACGGTTCCCGGATCTTTTTATGCATCCAAG